GCCAGGCCGCCAGGCCGCCAGGCCGCCGCCCCGCGCCCTACCTCGGCCGCGCCTTTCCTTCGCCGGCGCCGCCGCCTTCCTGGAGCCGCGAGCGGTCGCGCCCGGCGCCCGGCGGCGGCGCCCGAAGAAGACGTGGTAGGCGGCGTAGATGGAGAAGAGGCAGTACAGGGCGACGAGGAGCGAGCAAAGCCGCGTCCGCGTCAGCCGCATCCCACCTCGGCGGCCCGAACCGGCGTCCTCGTCTCCGCCCCGGGCGCTAGGAAAAGCCCTGTCCCCGCCTGGCCGGTCCTCAAACGCAAGCTCAACCTCGGGCTGCCTAGCTCAGGCCCCGCCTCCTCGGTCCTGCACTCACTCAGACCCCGCCCCGCACCCTCTCTCAGGCCCCGCCTCCTCACCCTTAGACCCCGCCTCCTCGGTTTTGCACTCACTTAGACCCCGCCCCCTCACCCTCTCTCAGGCCCCGCTTCATCAACCACAGCCACTCAGGCCCCGCCTTCTCACCCAGAGCCTCACGTAGACCCCGCCTCCTCACCCTCTCTCAGGCCCCGCCTCTTCATTCTCACTTAGATCCCGCCTCCTCACCTACAGCCTCACGTAGACCCCGCCTCCTCACCCTCTCTCAGGCCCCGCTTCCTCACCTTCCCTCAGGCCCCGCTTCCTCACCTTCCCTCAGGCCCCGCCTCCTCTCCCACAGCCTCTCTGACCCGCCTCGCCTCCTACAGCCGCACTTACACCGTGTTGTTGTTCGCCCCTAAGTTCTCCCAGGCCTCCTCCTCCTCCTGGAACCCCTGAGAAGTCTGACTCTGTCGGGTCCAGCCTTATCTCCTGGCACAGCCCGATCCAGGTCAGGCTCCGGGGTCCTCCCTCCTTAGGGGCTGCTCCACTTCCGGCTCAGCCCTGCCCAGCCCCCCGCAGCCGCGCCCCCTTATCCCGGACAGCGTCCTCACCCCTGGCGGAGCTCACCCTTCCTGCCGCTGGGCGATTCTTTAAAATCCCAAAGGACACACTCTTGCGAAAGCGGCAGAAACTCTCCCCTTTAGCTCATCAGTGTGCAAGCAATTCTCCAGGTGTGTCTGAACCTCGAAATCAGATTTTCTTCACAGCTCGGCCAAACTCTCAGGCGGAGGATTCCTGGACGGACTTGCCCTCCACGAACCTACACGTCACTGCTGTGGTTGTGACATTAGGATGTACCCACACTGTGCGTACATCTGTGTGCCTATCTGTGTTAGCCCTGCTATTTCCTAGCGTACAGGGACACCCAGGAACCAGGATTTCTCTTCTCCCAGGCGGGCCATAGGAACTCTGATCTTCTCCCACTTGCACGACCCGCAGTTGGCCAGTAAGAAAGCCTTTGACCCGCCTTGTCAGTAGGTCACACAACTTCCCACACCCAGGAAGGTGGAGTGCTACGGAGGTCGGGGTGGGCGTGGGGAGAATCTAGACAGGCCTTGCTGGATTCCCCACTTGTCCATGAGCATTAGATTAGACCCTTTTTGTCCAATCATTTTTGAGTGTGATTGTCCTTCAGTCACACTTTGTCAATGAATGGGCATTAACAAATTCTCCAAAGGACAGGATTCTGCAGTGTTTGAGGGGACATTCTGGAACACAGCCATCCCGGGGCTTGGAGGATGGTGCACCTCCCTCCACGGGGATGGGGGTCCTGTGCTCAACTTTCTTCAAGTCCAAACCCCACCTTTGTCTTCAGCTGGGTGTCTTCTTGCATTCCCTTAAAAACAAAGCAGTAAAGGTGAGCCACTCCAGCAAATTAAATAACTTGGTGGATGGGCGCATGGAAACGCCTTTGTAGCTCCGTTTCTCAGATCTTCTGAAGGCCCAGATTTGTGACTGGGTTTGGAGTAGAGGAGGTCTCGGGGATTGAACTGTCAACCTACAAGTTCTAGTGTGATCACCATGCAGAACACGCTAGAACTTGAAGGACACCTGACTTTCGTTCACTGCGAAAACTTGCCTGATGGTGGGGACAAACCCCACACCTTCTGATAGCACACAGTGGGAGGATTTGAGCGGTTTCCCTTTTTACATATTTATTTAATATAAATTGTTAAGTTTGTAAGCTCATACCCAGTAAGAGGTAGTTTTCTTTTCTGTGTGTAATGCTGATCAATATAGGCAACTCGACAGAAATGTATTGGCTTTGGAAAATAGTGAATACAATGTAATGCTTTCCTTAACCAAATAAGGTAACAGATACTTCTGATTGATGGTACACATTCACAGGCCTTCGAGATGGTTCGGCTAGTGAACACACTTGTCCAGAAAGACAGATTCCACCACTGAAAGGAGAGAAGCGACTACTGAAAAGTTGTTCTTTGACTTTTGTACACACACACACACACATGCTCACATATGCACAAACAGATAAAATAAATTAAAAAAAAACTAAGAAAAGCAACACCTATTCATTAGTCTGAGGGTTCTTTTTAATTTCCATTACACTCTATTTGTTTTATGTCCAGGTTGTTGTTAGGATACTATTACTGGATTGGATAATGCTCCAGCTTTTAAAAATTGTTCCTGCCCTTAGACAACAGGGACAATACTAGCTTCTTGAAAAATTGATTGTGACTCTCAGTAATTAATTGATACTAGAGCTACTTCTGGGGAGAATTCTTTAGTAATATTGTATTTATTTATTTGTGTTTATTGAATCGTGTTTTTTCACTCTCCTTTTGAAAATTTCATTTTTAAGACTACAGTTTAGTCCTTCAGAGTTAAATGATTAAGAGATGTCCTTCCACTCCTCTCCTCCTCTTGCTTCTGGTCTTCCTCCCCATCTTCATATAGCTGAGGCTTGCCTGAAAAATGCTAAATGGTGGAGGATGACTTCCTGCCTCCACCTTGAAAGATCTAGAATTGCAGCTGTGTGTCACCATACCTGGGCTCCCATGGCTTCTTAGACTAGGTTTTCAAAATTTAGATTCTATTTGAGATATTATTAGTTCTTATCTCTCCTTCCAACAATATTTGGATTTATCTGTTTAATCCCTTAGGCAATTAGTAGCTTATTTTTGTTTTTATTTATTTTGTTTTTATTTGTTTTTATTTATTTTGCTCTCTTTGTTTACCTGTTTTTTCCCTAACTTTTAAAATTTATCATCACTCCTTCATCATTAGGGAAATCTAAAGATAAGTCTTTTTGGTGTAGTTTTTTTTTGTTTGTTGGTTTGTTTTGTTTTGTTTGTTTTTTGGTCAAGAAGGAAAAAATGGGAGAGATACTATTTTCATTACCACATGGTCAAGATCTTATGGTCAGGCTTCTAATTTTGTCAATATGATGATTGAAATGTTATGTTTTTCAATTCTCTGGTTAATAGTGAAGATGAACATCCTTTAAATCTTGGCTATTTTCATTTCGTTTAATTTTCCATACGTGTTTAGAATTTGTGATATTTCACTTAAAACTCTTTTAGAGTTGCAATGGAAGTTTTGTTACACTTAAAGAATAGTTTAGATGCTGATCAACCTCATATGAAACACCGAATCTTTTGTTTATGGACCTGTCTTAGTTAGGGTTTTAGCTGCTGCGATGAAACACCATGACCAAAAAGCCAGTTGAGGAAAGGCTTTATTTTACTCACAGTTTGTCAGAAGCAGTGAAAATGGCCCTATAAGCCCTTAGAGAGTGGCACTATTAGGAGGTGTGGCCTGTTAGAGGAGGTGTTTGTCACTTGGAGAGTGGGCTTTGAGGTTTCAGAAGCTCAGGCCGGACCTGGATGCAGGCCTCCCTGCTGTCTGCCTAACCAGATGTAGGACTCGGCTAAATCTCTACCACCATGTCCACCAGCATGCTGCCATGCTTCCTGAACTGATAGCAATGGCCTAAACCTCTACTGTAAGCCAGCCTCAATTATATTTTTTTTTGTAAGAGTTTCTGTGGTCATGGTGTGTCTTTACAGCAGCAGAACCCAAATTAAGACAGGCTGGAACCTGGAGTCAGGAGCTGATGCAGAAGCAATGGAGGGTGCTGCTTACTGGCTTGCTCCCCATGGCGTGCTCAGGCTGCTTTCCTACAGAACCCAGGACCAGGGACATCACCACGAATAATGGGATGGGCCCTCCCTCTTCCATCAGTAATAAGAAAATGCCTTACAGCTGCATCTCATGGAGGCATTTCTTCAATTGACATTTCCTCCTTTAGTCTGACTCTAGCTAGGTGTGTCAATTGACATAAGCTAGCCAGCACAACTGACCTCTTGTCAAGATGACATACAAACACATCACCTATGAACCCTTCCTTTCCTGTTCATTCCCAAGATCTTACGTTAAAAACATAAATAACTTTAAAAGTTACACAGTCTTTACAAACTCAAACACTTTAAAATTTAAGTCCCTTAAAAAAATATCCAGTGTTTTTAAAAATTCAAATTCTTTGTAAAATTCCATTTTTTTTTCAGGAATTGGTATTTATTATCAAAGTCATATTTGGTGCCACAACACAACAAAACAAAACTAAACTAAACTGCGCACATTGCAATCTCAATGCAAACAATCAAATGGAACGCCAATCATTAAAAAATTAATTGAAATTATACCAATAATATCTTTATATGCCTAGACAACAAATTTAAATGATTAACAAGAAAAAAAATACAAATTCAAATATCTGGTATTAATGTTTAGAAAAGGCAACTGCTTAAACATTTCTATTGATTCAGGCATCAGCCTCCCAGCCACTCAGCTTCATGCCATTCATCAGTGGGCAGGCTCTCTCAGCCACCTCTGGAGACCCAGACTTAACTACACCGCACCCCTTGGACTTCCTGTTCTCCATCCTGATGTCGGTGAACAGCATATGGCCATAGTCATTGAATTTGACATTTAGCATCTTTCAACTGTGTTCTCCTGTTAGATAAAAAAATAAGTAAGTTAAGTACTTTCTTACTTCAGAAGGGAAGAACCAGGACACAGTCACAATCTGAACAAAACCAAACCCAAACCACATCAGTGTAAATAACACAACATCCAATGCCTGGGAATGATCTTCTGGGCTCCTCCAAGGGGCTTGGGTCTCTTCTCCAGCCCCACCTCCTGCAGCACACACAGCTTGTCTTCTAAGCTCCAGAAGGCTCCATTCCATTGCTGTTGCTCTTCTTGGTGGTCATCTTGTGTTACTGATAGCTGCAAAACGTTGGGGTCTTCTGCTGCAATTGGGATGAACTTCCCCAATAGCCCCTCAAAGGTGCTCTGCATGGTCCCTTTAATCCTGGGCCTTCAACTGCTGCTGAGGCTGCACCTTCACCAGTGGCCTCTCTTGGCTTCTCACTGAGCCAAATCTCAGCTGATTTCCACACTCCTTCAT